AAGATCCAAGTGCAGAGACGCAGAAATGGCAAATAGATGATGAATGTTTAATAAAAAATGATCAACAAAAAGATACAAAAACCAACAGGAGACCCAGAGCCAGACCAGAGCAAAACCTCATGAACCAGGTGTGAAGAAACAGTGGGCTGAAACAGGAAAGTATTGGGGTATTAACAGGAGGAACCAGTAAGGAGAGAAAGCAGAAGATGTGTATATATATTAAGAACAGTGGGGTCTAAAGTTCCTTCTCAAAGGTCGGCATCCTGCATGATTTAGTTCTCTCCCTGGTGGTAACAACCTTTCAGCAAGTCAATGTTCCTCTTAGGCCTTCTAAAGAGCCATCATTTGATCCAGGTGTGCTAAACCAGAGAGAGAACTAAAACATGCAGGATGCCGGCCCTTGAGAACTGACTTTGGACACCACTGACTGAGAGTGAATACTGGAACAAAAGACCAAGGCTGATTAGCTTACAGGTTGCAGGTGTGAGGGGAGAGAGCAGAAAGCAGGCTGAGAGAGAGGGAGAGAGAGAATGGCACAGGGGGCGAGTGAGCTAGAGTGAACATGGGAACTAGGAAAATGAATCAAAGAGTGACCAGACAAAAGGAATAAATAAACATAATTAAAAAGAACTGAAGTAAAGTAAAACAGAAACAAGGCTAATAAAAGACGGCAAACAAAGAACAGTAGTCAAAAACTAGAATTAAATAATCAAACCCCAAAAAACAAGACCTGACAAAAATTAGATTATTGTAAAAAGTAAAATGTCAAAAACCCATGTTGTTACATTGTAATCAGCTAAATAACTCAAAATAACTTTTCTGATTTCTATTTCCTGAACCTCTCAGTGTGGGTCATTAGGACACTACTGACTGAATGGATGTCCACGAGACAGTCACTAGCTGAGTGTCCATTGGTGCAAACCACCAACAAGAAGATGACAGGAAGTGGTTAGAGGATCAAGGCGCATGTCTTTTAATGACTTATCACATGAACAAACTTATTCACATGCAATTTTAATTACATTTCATATTTAATGTAGCAATTGTGAAATTGTGTTGTTTTTTATATTGGCAAAGGTTTACACACATTTGTAATGGAAACACAAGTAATGACACTTTTCATGAGGAGGGGAAGTCACAAAAGATCTTTGTTAAAGAGGATGATTGTTCACAGACTAATGTATAGAAGCATATTCATTGAAAGTTGAGTGGAAGGACAAAGTGTGGTAGAAAAAGGTGAAGCAGCAACAGGGATAGCTGCAGCCTTAAAGTGTATAATTGAAAACTTTTCCTTTGTCATAAATCTGCAGTTGAATTGTTCGTTTGTATTGTGACGGTGCAATGAGAGGTTGGAGAAGGACTTAGCAGCAGTGGTTAGCCACGCTAACCCAAATCAGCAGAATACATGGTTGAAGTATTCCACAGTTTCACTTTATTTCACTTCGTCCATGTAAAGCCAGACCTCCATGGTACTGAGCTTCTCATACATGAGAAAAGTAACAAAAGTTGCACCTCATCATCACCAAGGTTTCTCCTCTCTACAACAACATGGAAAGTTCTTAGAGTTCTTACCCGGTACAGGATCACAACAAAAGAAAAGGGAATAGGCGCCCCCTTGTGGTGTTACCTACTCAAGTCTAGGAACAGAGAGGTATGACTGTTACTGTATGGCAACGGTATCCATGGTGGAAAAGAAGTTAATGGCCGAATCAAATCACTGCCAAAGTCCATAGAACTGTATTCTTTATACTCAAAGGGTGATCATTCTAATTGCCTGTGTTCATAAGTTCTTTGTATGAAAGTGTTGCAACTTAGTTCAGTTCTGTCAGCTATATCCATGATGTTGTGTTCCTGTGCGAACACAGCATCCTGTTACCTCCTTTGCCGCATCACGCCATTCAAACATGTTTGTCCATTTCCTTGAGGGATCTGATCATCATCAACACTTTTGATTCTTCGGGTGTTACTAATAATTTTATAAATACTTTGCAGTTTGCTTTCCAAGTGCCCTGAATTTTCTTTTGCTTTCTCTACTGTCTAGCTTTTCTGACAATAGCTTTGCTAGCTTTTCTGGTGAGATGATCATTCTGGAAGACATTTGAGCCTTTCAGCTCAAATGTTGGCACATTCTTATGTTTACGGTACACAAACCTCAGAATGATGGCTTGTTTAACTCCAGGATTCTTCCTTTTCAAGGAAGGTCAAGCTTCAATTTGCTAAGCTTTCAATGTGATGGCTTTGGATTCCAAAAAGCTGTTGCTCCGATTAAATAGCTTCAACTTCAGTGTTTCCTCCTTCGTCCCGACTCAGCGCAGGCATAAGATCTTGGTTTCACCGTCAAACCAGTTACGATCACAACATTTATTCTATTGTACTGTTCCAATTCATTCACTCGCTCTTCCAGATTAGTGATTTTCTTGTCCTTTTCTTCATTTTGAAGGCAAAGTGCTTTATGTTGTTAACAAGGTCTTTGTGATGAAGCCGCATTGATGCAACTTCTGTAGGTAGAAAATCCAGTGACCTCTTAATATCATCCACATCTTCTGTTGACTGTGGCTTTTTGGCCCCATGATTCAAAGAAGAGCCTTTTCCATAAACCTTTAAAGAGTTAATTTCACAATTTTCTTATATTATTTAGCATTTACCATTGGTGTTGGTGTGAGACAGTCAAAGACTACACCAGAAGTGTCTTACCTGGGCTGATTTCAATTCCCAGTAGGACTTGGTGTGTTGTTTCCCAACCCTGGTCTTCAAGGAACACTGTCTGGCATGTTTTGGGTGTTTCCTTGCTTTAGCCCAGGTGATTTCAATTGACAGGTGTTTTCTGAACTGCAATCAGTCAAATCAGGCTTATTAAAGCAGGGAAACATCTACAGTGTGCAGTGTGTCTTGAGGACCAAGGTTTAGAAACACTGGCCTAAGGTACCCAAAAATGCTTGAGTGACTGTGACGTTGCTGTGATTGAATGGCCACCAAACAAACCTGACCTGAACCCCATAAAGAATCTATAGGGGATTGTCAGGAGGAAGATGAGACACCAGGAACAACATTGAAAGCAAATTTTCTGAGACAGTGAATTTAGTTTTCATCATCTGTAAGCTTTAATCATCAAAATTACAAGAAATAAAATTTTTAATATTTCATTCTTTATGAATTGAATGAAAACAATATATAACTTTCATTTTCAATAGCCATTTTTCTTCAGAGGTACTTGCATAAAACTAATGGCATACTTACAAAGCCAGAAATAAACATCTATGGCAAAAATAGAAGACTTAATAGCACAAGACAAACTTTTGCTTGGAGGGTCCACAGTTAAAGATTCAGTTGCTTTGTTTTAATACTCGAGATCACTTGTAGGACCTTTAATAGATTTCTGTAACAGATTTTTAGAGGCAACATAATTTCTGCCATATTTGGATGGTATGATGAATGCATTTTTGCTTTTGCTGTGTTTTTATTAGTAGTGTAATAAAAATGTATGAAATTACATTACATGTCTCCATAAGGTCTTCATAGCTTCTTTGGAGACCTGATTCACTCACGAGCCACACAGTTATGATCTGTGTGGTAAAACAATGTGTTTGTAAGTTGATTATGGAATTTGTTAAATTGAGTGAATAAACTGACTTGCTGTTATTCACACAGAACTTCCTGGTTTTGTTGGAACATTTTTTTTTTTTGGGCAGAATCACGTGATGTCTCGAAAGCGACAACAGGATAATGTTTTGGATCATTATCCTGTTGTAGAGAACAAGTTGGTTTCAGCTTCAGGTCACCAACAGGATGTTTTGGTCGACAGCAGAATTCATGCTTCCACTAATGGTGGAGACATGACCTTTGGCCTTAATTGAGGCAAGGGAGGCCTGCAGTTCTTTGGTTGCTGTTGTGGGGTCTTTACTGACCTCTTGGGATAATTTTAGCTGGCCGGTGGCTCCTGGGAACCTACAACACTCTTCAATGTTTTAATCGTGTGGGTTCAGTCGAGTCCCAAAGACTTCAAAATAGATTGGTAATCCTTTCCTGACTGATGGTCAGTTACTTTTCTGTCTTATTTGTTCCTGAATTTCTCAACGTCTCAGCATGATGTCTTGCTTTTGATAATCTTTTGGTACCCTTGACTTTGTCATGCAGGTTCTGTTTAAGTGATGTCTTGATTGAAAATAGGCGTAGCTACGGAATGAAAGACACAAAGTGCTACAAACCTCTCCAGAGAGCCCAAGTTAGAAAGAATCTCATGTTTTCCTTTAACTTTAATTTTTCAACTAAAAATGAACCATTACTGTTTTAATTTATAGTAACATTGTTAAACATGTTCTGACTAAATGCTTAGGCAGAGTACGAGTTGGCTGAAGTCATTACTTGGCACAAAGGAAAAATCATCATCTGGGGGATCCCAGTTTGAGTGGATGGAAAAGATGTGGTATGCAGTTTGGCTCTCAGACCAAGGGGAAGCCCCACAGCTGTTCAGCCTGCTCCCAAGTACTGTAATCCTTCAGACAGTACCAGAACCCGACAGCAGGTGACACACAAATGTTCTAATTCAAGTACACCGAAGCCATCATCAAACAAGGTAGTTGACCTGTTAATTATTCTCTAGCAAAAAGCATATCTTGGGTGTAAATGATTGGCCTTTGTTGACATGGATGCTAAGTAATATGCTTTTCAGTTTGAAATTTGTGATCGTTCCATATAATTAGCTCCATTCCTTCTTTTACATGAACTGCAAGATTTACAGTTATGACATGTTATGACATGTTACTGTTTAACATGTCATAATAGAAAATAAAAGGCAATATTAAAGTCTATGTGGAAGAAAACAAACATTTATCACAGTTAAGCCCCAAGAATACTGAATTTGACATTTATGTGCTCAATAGTCTTGTGGTAACTTTTGTTACATATTTTCCACAAAAGTATTCCTTTTTAAACGGAATGAAGAACATCTGGCTGCAATAAACTAATCAAACATAGGTTGAAAGATAGTAAAGACAAAAAGCTAAATGCCCAAGACTTTATTTTGCTGCTCGAGTTAGATTCAGGTTGGCCCGGTGCCTGACCAGACTTCTAACTAGTAGAACAAACATTGTCGTTCTAAAGTACAAAGTATGCATATAACAAGCAACATATTTGAACACAAACATGACATAACTCCTAAATCAGCTAGCACGACAGTATAGCACCACAAAGAACAAAACATGATAGGACTGGGTCTTACTTCATTACCATCAAATTTATGGCAACAGTAAAAAAAAAAATAGTTGTATTTTCTACTATAAGTGAAACATGAATGTAAAAGTGACAACAGTTCAGTCATGCAATAGATTCTTGTAAAAAATAAAAAATAAAAAAAAATACTCCACTGTCTAGACATGGCATCAGTGTCGGAACAAGTCACCATCAGGCATCCCGAAAGCTCCATCAGCACATCTTACACACTATGTAGTGTTGTGAAAAAGAATCTACTCTCTTACAGAGTTCTTCTGTTTTTTATTTATTTTGTTACAATTGTATATTTGGTGTCACTGAACACATATGAGGCAAATATAACCTAAGTAAATAAATTATAATTTTGTTCATAAAAGGAAAAACTGTCCAAAGCAACATGGTTCTATGGAGGAAAAGCATAAAGTGGCAGTTGTTACCATCACAACCTGTCATTAAGTTTGGAGGGTAATTATTTTTTGTCACATCCATCCAGATGTCATGCAAACTTTTAAAATGCTGCAAAAAAGTCAAAGAAAATTAAATGTGTTTCCATCTACTGGTTTGCAGTGACTCAACCGCAAAGCATGATGTTGACGCTACACATGGCTGTAATAAACAAGATGTAGAGGTTGCTAACTAGCATCAACCACACATCTCAGAAAAATGGAGAGTCCTTCCCTCTGAGCTGGAGGTTTGGATTTTGACATTTTACTTGTTTCATGCCTCTGGTAAGGACAGACCCTTCAGCGGATGGTGACGTTTACTACTTCAGAACTCATCAAGCAAATGTGCTTCGGTCTTTTACACATTAACTCTTTTTGGAAAAGCCAAAAACCATCTCAAACAAACATTAAAAAAAAAACTTTTTTTCTGAAATTGAGGAAATTATTTAAAATTTTGCCATTTCCATCAACCTTTTCTAATGCGATACTTCAAATTGCAAAATAAAAACCTTGATGGAAACATATCTTTAGTCAGGTTTGGTTTGCTTTTTCTCTGAAATTAAATAATTATTTGAAAATTGCCTATTCTGTTTAATCAAGTTACTTCTGTGTGGTATTAAAATGTTTGATCTGAAATTTTTAAGTCAGAAAAAAAACTAAAACAGAAGAAATCTGTAAACACTTTCTCACCGTAGTGTTTAGTGGAGTCCAGTTTAGACTGCCTGGAGTTAAAATGTTCTAAACCAAGAAGTGTTAATACCTGAGTAAAGGCAGTCTGAGGTTTCTTCATGAATCCTTTAAGCTAATGTTCTGCTTTGCGTTTTAACTTTATATTCCTTGATTTATTTTTCCACCTTCTTTTACCAAAATGATTTATAAACAAGTTATTATATCTCTCCTCCTCCTCGTTCCGCTCCTGCTTCTCATCCTTGTACCAAGGTCCCCATACTCCTCCGTTGTACTGCGGGTTGGAGCGCAGGTCCTTTGCAGGGTAGCGCACTGGCACAGCCGTCTTGTTGTACTGGACTAGCCGCATCAGCATCTTCTTTACTATGTGTGGGTATTGCTGAGACAAGTCTACTCGCTCATAGGGATCAGCTGTGATGTTGAACAGCCAGATGGATTTACCCCTGTCCCAACGCACACGTTCATTATGGTGGCGAGTGGTTAGTCGTTGGTTGGAGAACGTCTGTGGTGGCACCCAGTCGCTGTAGCCTGGCACACCCGTCAGTAGCTTCCAGTGGCCAACTCGGAGCGCAGCTTGGACAGCAGTGTTCCACAATCCATATCCCGCCTTCCAAGAGCCATTCTTGGCTTTAATGTAAATTGGGTCGATGTTATGTAAAATGTCTAGGCGAGGTGATGGACGACCTTCACTAATAGCTTCCCAGACGTCGTATCCATCTAGGTTTTGATCTTCATCTAAGGTGCCTCCCCCAAGAGTCACCAGAGTAGGAAACCAGTCAGTTATGTGGACCAATGTTTGACATTTTGACCCTTTTTTGATTAACAGGGGACTGTGAACAAAACCTATTCCCCTAATGCCCCCCTCCCAGTAGGTGGCTTTACTCCCCCTCAAGGGCCAGTTACTTCCACCAGCTAATGGCTGACCCCCATTGTCTGTGGAGTACACTATAACTGTGTTGTCATAGTAACCAAAGTGTTTCAGGGCTAAGGTCAGGTTGTGAATGGCTTCATCAAGACAGGAAACCATAGCGGCATATTTTCGGCGATGTGGGTTTGGAATTCCCTTGTACCGCTCGAGATAGCGAGCAGGAACTTGTAGCGGGGAATGAACCGCCTGATAGGCCAAGTAAAGAAATAAGGGTTGCTTGTGGGGATCGTGATTGGCCAAGATGCTGACAGCCTTTCGAGTGAACATCACAGTAGAGTACAAACCACGGTCCTGTTCCCAAGCGGCCTCTTCCCCTTCGTACAGATCATATCCGCACATGCCGGGACCTTCGCATTTGTAGTGGCTGTAGTAATCGCCGCTTCCGAGCAGGGATCCGAAGAAAGTGTCGAAACCTCGCTGGGTGGGAAGGCAGCCACGTTTGTAAAAGCCCAGGTGCCACTTCCCCACCATGTGGGTGGAGTAGCCTGCTTCTTTGAGCTTCTGGGGAAGAGTGATATTCTCCAAGGGTAGGCAGTTAGGCTGGGTGGCTCGAATGATAGAATGTTGCAGGCCTGTGTGGATCTGATACCTTTAAAAAAAGACAAAGGATAAAAGCCATTAGAAGATGAAGACATAAATACAGTGAAGTATTCCCTAACACAGCAGGAAGAAAAGAAGCTGTCTGTTGGCTCATATTGACCCCAAGCAGTGATTCTGTCAGTTTGATCAGTTTTACAGGACCTTGTAAAACTATCCTTATACCTAGAACTTTTCACCATCAAAAAAACAAAAAAACACTTAATTGAACAAATACTGTTTAAATGTTGTTGCATTTCAAAAGTGGCATGTACAAAAGTTACCTTACTTTAGTTCATTTGTTTTTGTCAAATATATAAGGTTTGATTAATATACAAAAGTAAGATTGTCTGTTTTCTTAATGGAACAAATACATAAAATTAAGAAAGTATAAGACTTCTCATATAGGGAAGAAAAGGATTTATTAGATAAAATATTCCTACTTGCCAAAATAAATCAATACATGGGTCTGCAGGTGATTATGATATTAGAGCAGTTTTGGAGCTGAAAGAACCAGCTCTATTTTTGGGAGAAGCGCCACAAGAGCCGACTCTGGAACAAGCCGAAATTCCCATCACTGGTGCAAAGTGTGTCCCAGTTCTCAGCATCTGTCTTTTG